AAGGGTAGAGGGTGAAAAAAAGAAGGTTCGAGGGTGAAAAAAACAGGTTCAGAGGGTGAAAAAGAAAGGTTGAGGGTGGAAAAAAAAGGGCGGGGTGAAAAAAAAAGGGTTCAAGGGTGAAAAAAAAGATTGCCCAAAGCCGCGTATAGGTCCTGCTGTGGTGTTGGCTGCCTGCTTCATGGCCAGTTGGAATCGCACTTTCAGTTGTTCCCAGAAAGCTGGCTTTCCCCTTTTCCACGTGGTGGTGGCTTTGGTGGGGATCAGTGGTTTGGTGACCACTTGGAGGGTAGCTGCTCTGCCTTGTGCTGCCCATGGGTGTTCCTGGAGCAAGTATTGCTCGGTGCATGAGATTGAGTCCGCCCATTGTTTTGCCGGATCATTGGGCGGATTGCCATAGAGTTCAAGCTCATAGGCCTGGGATTGATATGAGGTCCAGGGCCTGAAATCAATGTCAGGCGTAGTCGGCATGGGCGGGAAGTACTGGATCTGTCTGTATTCTTTGGTTGCTGCCTCCAGGTTGAGGTGTAGGGTAAGGAGTGCATGTGGTCTCCAAGGAATTCCCCACTCCGTGGTGATGGCCGTGGTGCTGGCTAGGCTTTGGTGCACCAGACCGTAGTCAATGACATTGCCAGAAAGCAGGCTGTGATCCGGTGCCAAGACTTCAAAATGAAACTTGGAAGGAAGGACCGTGCTCGTGAAGCTGCTTGGACTGTTTTGCCAATCGCCCAGCAGAATGTAGGGATGAGCAGTTGCTTCAACCAGAGCTAATAGCCTGCTGATGATCGTGGCATTGGTGTCGGTTTGGATGTTTTCGCCCGTCTTCAAGTACACTCCTGCCACTAGGATGGTGCATTCAGTGGCCTGCCATAAGAAGGCCTGGTAGCCACAGCCTTGCAGGGAGTAGTTCTCAAGTGGTGTGAGGCCGCAGGAGGGATCTCCCAAGATCAGGATGCCTCCATGAGTGCCTGTGTTGTCTGCATTTGGTTGAGCTGGTGTGCCAAATGCTGTGCGCCCTCTGACCGTGAAATATTGGCAGGTTTGTTGGTGTTTCTGTGGATCCAGGTGTGTCTCGACCAAGATGTGCACTTCACTGTGTCTTGACCAGTACCAGTCCAGGACTTGTTTGCCAAAATTGGTGATATTGGCAAAGTGGATTTGGTTGTGCTCCTGCTCGAAACGTGCCCGTTTGTCTGGGCTCGGATGGAGGGGTGGGTCATAGTCCGGTTCCTCAGGACTGGGCAGTGAACGGAGCACTTGTTGTGATGTTCTGAAGGTGTCAACATGGACTGCCCATACTTGTGTCACCTGGCTGGCCAACTGTGGCGTGAGGTGGTCCAAATGGATTGGTGGTTTGCCATCATCTGCTAGCCACATCAAGTCTCTGTAGATGAGAATGGCGAAGTAGTGGCCGCTGTCATGGCTGGTGCCCCTGTGGCATATCAGGGCAGCTGGCACGAACTCGGCTGAGGATCTGGCAAAGCCATCGAGGGACTTTGGGACGGTAAACGTGCCATAAGGATTGAGGATCTTGCCATGCTTGGTGGTGATGCCTCCCACGCAGGTGTTGCGGGTGACATGGGAAATGAGCACCGGCTTATCATCCAGCAGAAATTGACCCAGCCCTTGGTTTGCCCATCCATTGTATAGATCCTGGAAGGTGGAGTTTTCCGGCCAGTCATCAGGGAAATCCACCAGGATGGGCTGTTGGATGTGGTCCTTGAGGTAGCCCCCTTCTTGGATTTCGGCAAATCTGTAATGGAACGCTCGAGTCTGAGAGAGGTTCCAGAGGGTGTTGACGAAATGGCTTGCATCTCCTTGCACATTGAGGTCGTGCTTGTTCCATAGTGAGTGCAAACCTGGCAGCTGTAGCAGATCCACCGCGTCTGCCGCAGATCCACCGCGTCTGCCAACTCCAGGGATTCTTGGACTGCTGTTTGCAGGTTGCCCCATGGGTGGGTGTTGGTTTCTTGCAAAAGTGCACATGTCCAGGTGAATGCACGCCAGGGGGCATTAGCAAAGCACCGGGCACTGGGGTTGCCGACCTTCATGGTGAGGTTCTGCAAGATGCACTCCGTTGTTGAAGCATACGAAACCTGCATGCTCACTTTGGGGCCGCGCTGTTTGCGCTGCTCTTTGGAGTTGGCTCCTCCGTGGATCTTGATGACGTCCGGCCCTGGTGCGCCGAGCAAAGGTCCATCAGCGCCCGCTTCAAAGACGGTAAAACCAAAATTGTTCACCTGTGGGGTGAGTGTCTGAACCTCTAGGTCAAGAGTGTATTCCCCTTCACTCTTGTAAGAGGGGTCCCTGGAAAGATTGGGTTGTGGAACTGGATTGTGCAAGTGTTGCTGTGTCTGGTCCCCTGCACAGTGTGTCACTTGCTGTCCCCTTGCCGATGCTGTGCTTGAGGCAGCGCGGCAAACCGAATTTGGAGATGATGCCGTTTCAAATTCATCAAGGGGTATCGGCACCTCAAGCCCTTGAAAGCCCGGCATGGCTGATCTCCTGTTACCCACAATGTCCGGGTGACTCTGCAGGGACAATGACTTCAGTTTTCCTGCGCTTGCTAGGATCTTCAGCGTCCTGTCCTGGTCTTTTCAGGAGGCCTTGGAGCTGGGAACGCTGATCTTCTGTCGGAGTGACTCCTAAGCTGTTGACAAACGTCTCAACTGCCATAGGGATGGGAAGCTCAGCCTCTGCAGCCGTGGCTAGTCCTTCTGGCAGTGGTGTTTTGTTGACCGCCTGCATGTACTTTTCGGACAATGTCTTCAGCTTTTGTTGTCCATCAGTGAGTCGGGCCTGGTGCTCTTGCATGTCTTGGAGCATTGCCGCATATTGGCTCTTCGTCTGGTCCAGTTTGACCTGTAGTTGAGCCTTCTTCATTGAGATGGTTTTCAGCTCAGTAACCTGGGTTTTGAGCTGCTGAGCCAGGTCCTTCTCTGTGGCCGGCATGGGCTGGCTGAGCTTGTTGACGATGTCTTGCACAGGTTGTGGAAGCGCATTCAGGTGCGTCTGCAGGAGTTCCGTGAGGCCTGGTTCTGCAGGTGTAGGAGGTGCCAATCCTAAAGCTGCCAGCTTGGTCTGGATCTCATTGGGGATGACGTCCCATGTAGTGGCCAACAGTTCAGCAGCCGTTTGCTGGTTCTTGGTCTTCTTCAAAGGCTTGAGTTTGTGCAAACCCGGCGGTGGCTCCAAGTGAGCATCGGTGCTCGAGCTTTTGGTCCAGGCGATGTTGCTGGAGCTTTTCTTTCCTTGCCCATGGCCTTGGCCTTTGCCTTTGCCGGTGGGTGCAGAGCCTTGTGACCACCAGGTGCCGCAGCGTCTGCACCTAGTGCCGGGGTTCTTTTTGTCATCCCAGATCCAGTTGGTGCATTGCTTGGCAGTGCACACGGTGTAGGATCTGCACCAGTTGGTTGGTGCCATGGTTTGAGGATGCCCTCGTGCTCTGCGAACTGGCCTGGAAGGTTCGGTGTCTTGTAGGGATCACGGGCAAAGCTGTAGTACAGGTTGTCCCGAAGGTCGTTGGCCAGAAAGTTGGACTGGTCCTGGATGCCAAAGAGGAAAACAAGGGCGAGACCTGCCGGTTGCCAAAGAGCTCCTCTTGAGCGTGGAAGGTGAAGTCCAAGATTGCGAGCAAAGGACGCTTGCCCAGGAGGAATGCTGTGGCGGTGAGCCAGAAGAGGGTGTCAGTGCACACGTGGTGCAAGGGGGTGCCGCACTAGGTGGGCTTCTATGAGGGTGTGCCACCTTGAACCGCTCACAGCTTGAGCCATGTATGTATGTATGTATGTATGTATATATGATATATATATATATTATAATGAACATCGTGGTATGACTTGTGCAGTAGTCAGTAGTCCAAGAATTACCCGTCCCTCTCGGAAGACTGATCCACACAGAGGTTTCGAGGGTCAGGGATCAAAAGGATCCAGTCATGGCAGTGGGAAACCTGATCCACTTTGGGATGCGAGGCGTTGTTGGGAATTCCTCCATATGGACGGGTCATAGATGATGACTCCGATCTCAAACACCCGGGGATTTCATGAACCCCCCCCGACCTGATGGCCCCTTTTTGGTGTTTGGGAGTTTGTCCTCCTACTTGGGAGGAATGGCAATTCGCCCACGGCCGATGTGCCCATCTTCAATTCCGTGGGCTCCGCAGTGCCTCGACATTCGGAGTGCTCCGGGGGTGTTGGAGAGCCATTGGTGTCAGTGATTTAGCAACTGATGTCAGCCAGTGGTGGGCACGAGAACAGCATTTTAGGCCGTTGTTTTGCAAGAGGCCGGTTTGGGGCCAAAGGTGAAGAGCCAAGTTTTAGACAAACGCAGATCAAGTCGGAAAAGATCTTGGGAGAATAACAAAAAGACAGAACTTACCTCTATCATGTTCTGTACAGTTGTTTATGCTAGCGGGCTGAGAACCGCGCTAGTAGTAGATGTTTGTTAGTTGAATGTGCCGAAACGCAGGTTTTGAGAGGTTTTTGAACCCACTGGTTGAAGGTTGACGACCCAAAAAAAACGCAAAAACGCAGGCGCAGTTGTCAGCCCGGGTTGTTGATGTTCCTTCACTTGCGGATCTCTAAGGTGTGGTTTGGCGTCTTCTACATCTTAGCCATGACCTGAGTGCGTCACCGTCACCTGTTCGTCGCCTTCCTTCGCGTGGTTCTTTTGCTCTTTGCGAGATCCAGAGGTCCTGAGGTCCACATGCGTGTGAAGGATACGTGGCGGATCGTGGCGGGTGGATGTGTGTGCATGTATGTGTGTGGGTGTGCATGCCCAAAGGCACGACATGTCGGTCTGCAGAGCACCGGCTTGGGAACGGTCCAACGGCTGGTACACGTGTCAACGGTGTTTGGTTTTTGTTGGTGCCATGGTCTCGGTGCTTAGGAGACTTCAGGCCCTGACCACTTGCAGCCTGTCAATCTGCGTTTTCAACGCGCGGGCACCTCGGAGCCATTTTGGCCCGACGAAGCAAACTCGAAGCGGAGCAGCTGACCCTCACCATGCCAGTGGTCATTGCAGAGGATGCGAACGAGGAGCAGGCGTTTGAAGAACAGGAGCCGGAGGAGGAGGAAGAGGAGATTCTTGAATGGTCCTGGAGCTACGTGACTCGGCAGCCAGCGTATATTGTACTGTTGGTATACAGCGTCCGTGGAGGGAGGTGTTTTGGTGCTGGTCAGAGGTCACTCCTGTTCTTTGGGTGAGGTGCGACATCCAACCACCGGTGTCTCTGAACCAGCGACCTGGACGGACAGCGGGAAGCGGAAAGCGTCGACTGGACGGGTGGACTCGGTCCATCCCAAAGGAGACCGAACGCGCTTGCAGAACGTCCACAGCCAGACCGGCGGAGCAGGTGTTTGCTGTGTTTGTACTTAATGACTGGAGAATAGTTCAATATGACATGTGACAGGGACACTTCCAACGCTTCAGGTGGCAATTTGCATTTTGATGCCATCGCTGAATGGCTTGATCAATGGCTTTAGTTGGTCCGGACTGTCGCTCCACTACAAGGACATGGGCTGGCCGATTGCCGCTTGGCATCACTTGGCTACTGATCTCAGTTGATTGGACCCTCCAAACTGTACAGTGTCTCCACTCCAATCACCGTACCTGAGAGGTGGCAGTGGATCCATAGGGTTTTGATTCTGGTTTTTGGTTTCTTCTTATTTTGCTATCGGACTCTCCCTATCTCTTCCGCGATCCTCTCCACAATCTAGGCCCGATCAGGTGTGGGGTGTGCCATTGGTTTTGCCTTCCGTGCGGTGTTTCAGCAAGTGCAGCTGAGAGCCGGCTTTTGGGTGATGGTTCCCTTGGGAATTATCCACCTCACGGCCGCCATCCTTGGAATCTTCTACACCACCGAAGAGTGGGCCGTGATCGTAGAGATTGCATGCTTGCAGTGTTTGGATTCCGCCATTACCATTGAAGGCTTAGCCTTTGATGTGTTTGGGCTATCGGAAAACTTGGCCCGCCAGGCCTCTTCTACACTGCTCGCTTGCTTTACGATCTCAGTGGCAAGTGCCGTTACCATTGGTGGTGTGATTTATGATCTCGCTGGCTGGCAAGGCATGTCCACCTTCCATGCCATTTGTCAAGCTTGCCTTTTGTTACTTTTCGTGACTCAGCCCATGTGCCTCCTATCATTCAAAGAGTTCTTCTTCCCGCAGCCCGAGGAGCTGGAAGATGAGGAGGACGAGGAGATCACCACGGCAGGCTTCACCGGCGTTTTGCCTGTGGAATCCACTCCCACCAAGAAAGAAGCAGGCCCCGCAGCGCTCGCCGCGGCAGCCGAACTGCCTGGGCAGCCAGAGCCTGTGGTTGAGGACTTGGAGGTGGAGGAGCTTCAAGACATCCCATTGCCTCCGCCCGTGCCCCCCATAGTGGAGACTCCTGGGGCTGGAGCTAGTGCTGCTAGTGCTGCTGGTGCTGGACCAGCCTCTCAAGGTGGAACGGAAAGTGGAACGGCTCGTCCGAAATTAGCAGGTCTGCGTGGGTCAATGGCCTCACAGGGTGGCACAGCTCGCGGTTCTAGGGCCCCACGCGGCACCCTGATGTCCACAGGCGGAGGCCATCGTGGTACCGTGGCGTCCACAGGCGGAGCCGCTCGTGGCACGGTGGTGTCCGGACGTGGGTCCATGGCCTCCTTTGCTGGTGCGGCAAGGGAATCGCAAGTCTCACGTGCCACCATGCTCATGAACCGAGCCTCTCAAACGTCCTGGGCTCTGCGACAATCTCAAGCTTCAGGTGTGTCAGGCGTAGCTCGTCACACCCGCGGAAGCCAGATGAGCAGAAGCAGTGTTCCCTGGTGCAAATGCGGGGTTTTCTGGACTTTTTCTACGGGGTGGAAATGGGAACCCCCAAAGACGACTTCCGCAATCTCCATATGTTTGTTGTTGTTTCTGTCATCCATCGGGCCACAACTTTCAACAGGCTTTCTCCGCCTTGTCCTCCTTCAGCGACAACTTTCAACATCACTTCGGCGCCAGCAACGTCTTGCGCCCCAGCGTGGCGCAGCGCACCGGCGGTGCAGACCCCGTGCGGCGGCAGAGTGTCCTCACGGCGCTGACCGAGCGCACCGAGGGAACGCAGGAGTCGGAGGGCCGATCCATCATGGGGAAGACCAAGAGTACCAAGGGCGGCCTTCCAAAGGACTTAAGGCTGGGAAGTGTCTTTTTCGAAGCGGAAAGGATTGGAAGGGTAGAGACTAGAGTCTAGAGGCTAGAGGTCTGTTGGACACCCATTGGAAGAGCTATAGGTCCCTAGGTGAAATGTGAAGCGAGTAAAGAAGCTATAAATCCCAGAATTAAGGGGAGCTTCCAAGACAAAAATAGTTTCTCCTGTGCCTTTGGAGGTCTTTCCACAATCTTGGAAGGTCCAATTGGATATCAAATATGATAATATTGTGTTTTTCTTACTCTCAAGCTTCAACATTCATTCTCTCATTATGTTCATTTAATGCCATTTAATTAAGCAGATTCCCCTTGGAAGATGTGACTCAGTTTGTTCTTCGTCTCGGCTTTTCTTCTGTTTGCACAAAGGGTGCAGCCCCTCCCTCGACTTCGATCAATCAATCCTGAGGCTTCCAGCGGCATTGTTGGTGCTTTGCTGCTTCAACAATACCTTCAGTTACAACACAGAGTTTGCGACATTTGCAATCTTCTTCAAGGAGCAGAGTTGGCTACGGCTAGCAGCAGTCTTGATGTTGCAGAGTTTGGTTCTTGTAGCCCTTAGACTCTTAGACGGTCTCCACCGGTCTTTACCCCCAAGGAATTCTGACTGTCCATGCTCGTGGCATTTTTTGGAGGAACACCATGGATGGAATTCCGCCACCTTCGCCAGTATTGCTCAGACCTCAGGGGACCTCATTGCGGCGGTGATGATGAAAATCTTGGGAGGAAGTGTGGATGATGGGGTCGACAGGACTTTTCACTGGCAGTGCAGCACAGCGAAAGAAAGAATAAGAAAGCAGGCAAAGAAGGAACGAAGGAAGGAAGGAAGGAAGGAAGGAAAGCAAGCACAAGCAAGCAAAGAAACAAATATACATGAAGAAAAACAACAATAATGAAGAAACAATTACAGTAAAAGCAACCATAAACATAAGAAAATGATAGAAAAGGACAGAACGCACAAAGCACAGACGGACAGAAAAGTATAAAAAACAAAACATTATACCGGGCGAGGGCAGACCAGACCATACAGACCAAGCATGACCAAAAGCCCAGACTGACAGCACGTGGGACAGAGGGATGGAGGGTAACGTAGCATGGCACAGACTGGTTGGCCTTTGCCTTTGTGGGTGCGAAATGCTATTAGGTTGGAGGCCATCGCTATTAGGTGGAGGCCATCGCCACTAGTAGCAAGGACGCTACTAGTAGCATTTAGTAGCCCAAATATGCTATTTTGGACATGACCTCCGGTAGCTTGTTGGATCCGCTCTGCATTGTTAGCAGGTGGCGGGTGCAGTTTTTTTTGCGCTACAGATAGATGACCAGCACAGAGGGACGGGTGAATTTCACATTCAAAAGTTATAACTTTTGATATGCAGTTGTGAGTGCTATTTGCATGCAGGACTTTCTGGCGAAATCTAATCTCGCAGCCCTACAATCTCTCTTGGCTCCTGGCTTTCTGGATCCTGTTCAACATGGGGATGATAAGCCCTTTCCTGCCCTTGGCAGTAACAGCCCAAGTCTTCATGGGAACGGTGTACGTTTATACCTCCAAATTCACCACAGACCTCAACCTATTCTACTCCTTGGGCGACAGTGCAGTATTCCTATCTCTTCAAGTCTATGGTAAGAATGCCGATGCCCTCGGTGGCTGTATCTCGAGCTTTTTGGCCACCTGGCTTTACGATGAGGTCTCGCCCTTCGCTCCTTGGAAAACTCAAGACAACTTTTGGCCGGGATTGGAGATGTTTTTCTTTGAATGCCTTTTCGGGGCCAAAAAGGACTCCAATTCTTCGGTGTGATAGCCCCCGACTCCACGCTGGTGCTCGACTCCAGCTGCGTGGGCTCATCAGCTCCCCCCCAATTGATCCGCCCACGCAGTGAGGCTCCCCGACTCCCCGACTGCCAAGCTGGCGCTCCAGCTGGCTCCATCAGCTCCCCCAAAAAACATCCGCCCAACTCAGCAAGTGAGGCCCCATTCTTCCTCAGCACTGTGGTCTCCTTCTTGATCCTCATCTTCTACACCATGGGCTTTTGCCGTCGCGTGGGCTTCGGAGATGACATCGAGACGGCCGAAGCGAAGCGGGGCCGGAGGCTGGGACTCCGACGTGACAGCAAGTGGAGCGTCCGGGTTGGGTTAGTTAGCAGTGTTTTTCTTATTTTGTTGTAGACTAGTCTTTTTGCTTAAATTAACATAAATTAACGGCTTATTATAAAACAGGTAAAACAACTGAGAACGACTTAAACATGTGAAGCATCGCGGTAGATTTTTCGTTTGGTGTTTCTCCTTTGGTGAGTTTGATGGAGGAGGAAAGAGTCCGAAAGAAACTTTTTAGTTTAGCTGCAGACCTAGACTAACAGACCGGACTGGTACCTGGAACACCCAATGATATCCAATGGGTGTCCAATGGACATCTCTACACAGTAGCGTAGGGTAGTCCATTGGACACCCATTGGATGGACCTGGTATAGACCATTCTCATTTTCCTGGCGGTGCTGGGATTTTGCTCAATCCTAAGGTGTGGTCAGCCGCAAGAGTACCTGCACCAATCGGTCTGAAGAGAGGATTCAAGAGGTCAAGGGGATTCTGGACGACATCCGCGAGGACAGGGACGTTCCAAACAGGCCAATGCAGATGACCAGAGTTCTTTTAGGTGTAGGATAACGCATGATAACGCGAAAACTGTGTTTGGATGTTCTTTCGTGAGTTTTCTTTGATGGTATATATATATAATATATACTGTATAGTTCTTTAGTAAGTCCAAGTAGATCAGCGCTAGCTTTGGAATACCTTACGCTTGACCACTATTGGCCCCTTTCTTTTACAAGAAATGGACTGGTGCCAGGAGGCCTAGCACCACGAAGACGAGTTCCGGCACTCAGTGAAAACACCTTGACGTTTTCCTCGCAACTTCAGCGCGCTCTCGGTTCCAAGTTTCCGAATTTCACCCCTATGTGGCGCTGGATCAGACTGGGCCTTTGACGGGTCCTGTTTCACCGGTTCTCCCGCTCGGTTCGGGTGAGCTGGTTGTATTTGGATGTGTGAAATGGAGAGAAATCGTTCGGAGCATCCTGGATGTGATTCTGTGTGCACCCCTTGATTTGATTTTAGCACTGCGGCCGATGGGCATGCCGTTCTTGCGGCTAGGGAATGCTCATAACATCTCTGAACAAAACGCCAGCTGTGTTTTCTCAACACCGGACACTTCCAGTTTCTCCTGAAGCAAACTTGGGAAGACTCCAGTACGCCCTGGAAGATTAACATGGAACCTGTAAACCACCGGGTCGTAGAGGAAAGTAGTCCTCCAAACGTCCATTGTCAGGTTCCATGTTAATCTTCCCGGGTGTAGTTCATGTTGTTTCTTGACACCAGCTGTTTTGGCCAAGCTTGATGCAACAGTTGTAGGGACAGGGCGTGCTATTTACTGTTCTTCCAGACCTGCAGTGCATCCACCACAAGTTCAGGGCAGATGTCAAGCTAGTTTCTTTATTTATATAAGACACTGGCCTCTCGAGAATACAGGCAAATACAACTGTTTTTTTTTCAATTCCCCCTAAGGGGGTATTTGAGGAATGATTTTGTAGATGCTTCCGGAAATTGGGAGTCATCTCAGCTGCGTCGAACTTGCGTATGAATCGCTGAGTGAATTGTCTCACTCAGCTTCTGATCACGGACGCAATGATCTCATCGTTAACTCATCGACGGATAACGAGCAAGTGTCGGCCTCGTCAGTGGCAAGAGAAAGAAGGGTCGGCCGCAGGACATCACAGGACTGATTTGAGCTACTAGTAACAAGTGCCACGCTAGTAGTAACAAGTGCCTTACTAGTAGTAACAATGTTCGCTAGTAGAAACAAGTGCATTGCTACTAGTAACATCTTGGAACATTGGAGTCGAGAGGAAATCATTTCCCACAAGGAGTCCTTGTTTGGAGAGCTCAAAGCGCTGCATTTTGTCCAGCGTGGGTGGAATGATGATGATATAAGTTCAGGTGGTTTATAGACCCCACTCACTATACATATTCCATCAAAAACAGGCTTTGGGTGGAGCTAGTCAGTGCTGGTATAGGTCCCATCGGCCAGATTCTTGGAGAAGTTGACATATTTCGACTCACTCTTTGTCTTTGTATTTCTGCGCTTCCCCGAACTTCGTTCGGACGAATTCCCCACAACACTTGGTGGCATGCGGCATGCGGCATGCGGTTGTTCTCAGGTCACTGTGGTGAGCAACTCGCTGCAGCAAATCCCGCAGGGTGCTCTCTTAGTGGAGCTGACCCCCGATGGCAAGGAACGCCCCTTGGAGACAACGCTCGAACAGGTGATGGAAGGGAAGGTGCCTTGTTCTCTTGCAGCAGAGCCGACGAAAGTGAAAGGGATGGAGGTCTTATTTTTGGAGGTTCCACTTTTGGACCATTTTGAGGGGACCTTGAAGGGTTTGTGCATGTTTCACTGCCTGTGTCTTGCTTTTGAGGTATCCATGTTATGCTCCATCACAAGACTCACCGCAAAGGCTGTGTTACTCATGCGCACCAGGCAGACTTTAGCCCCCCAGAATACGGCTGAATCACCAGCCTTTTGGTTCAGCTCTAGGCCCAGGCACTTCATGATCGTTCATCATTCTATTTGTGACAACAAAAATAGGCTCATTCTGTTTCGGGATTCGGTATACAGTATACATACATGTGTATACTCCTTCCTTTCACAGGAGGCTCTAGTTTGGTAAATTGTGGTAACTGTACGAAATCAGCGGCAAAAACGAGCCTTGTTGGATTGCAAACACTTCGACTGAGATTTGGGGTATGAAGGAATGCTGCTCTTTGGTAGGCGTTGCTTGGAATTTCCAACTGGGTTGCCGCACACGTCGGCAGTGTGAGAGCCAGCCGCCGAACCAACATGCGGGAGTGAGGAACGATGGTGTGGTCTTGGATGGAATTCTTTGGCTGCATCGGCATTTTGCTGGGACAGGGCTTGCCAACGCTGGGCGAGACGAATTGTGCTTCAAGCCCCGAAACAGGCGCAGCTTTTTCTGGGCTGGCCGAAGAAGGGGGAGAGGCTCCAAAAAGCCCAGGAAAAACCGAGGTGTCGACGAGTTGCCATGAGATTTGTTTTGGGATATGATTGATCCCACTGACTGATGATTCAAGTGAGTTGAAATCACCAGTCAGTTGTTCTTTGCTGTTGCGTTTTGTTTGTTTGGATCCTCCTGTAGAAAGAGCTCCCGAACGAGGTTCAGCCTCTTTCCACGGCGGGAAAGCCTCAGACTGTTCCCATGAGCATGGGGGGTTTCTCAGTAGCGGCGTCCAAGGGCTGGGCCACCGATCCCATCGACGTGACCTGGTCAGCTCGGTCTGAACTAAACGGTTCAGCTCCATCGCACGTTTCGGCTCCAACAAAAAACGTGGGTCCTGTAAATGAATTCAGGGGATTGGTTTGTTATGAATATGTATGAATTGCTCATTTCCACTCACAAGACCCTGTATGTGTTGGCCTTCGAGATGTAATTCTGAGTGTGACAGGTTGCTACGAGTACTTCTTCATCGCTTTGATCTTGGGATTTGTTTTTTTGCTCTCGAACCTGCATCTTGGCGGGCATCAAGATCTGTTGAGAGAGTTGTTTTTCCTGTGTGCACTTGAGAGGAGACATCTCATCCATTTTCAGCCAGTATGTTTGGAGGACACTTCTTCAGATCGCTTTCAGGTTCGAAGTTTCTCCTTGAGTGGGATTGAAAAGTCTGGGGATTCGGTATGTGGTTGATGCATGATGACATACTTCCAGGCCACTTTAGGTATATATAATGGTGTATATATATATATAGAACTGAGAGGTACCCGTAATGATTAAGTATATACCCGCTTGATGGTATGCCAAAGAATGGACCGATGCTTTGTGGTCATGTTTTCGCTTGAAATGCCGGCCCTCCTTCGCACCCGAAGTGCCCCCGATTTCGGCTGGGCCCGTTCTCCATGCGACCCCTCCGAGGAATTTGGTTTGGCAAGTGAAGGAGCGCCCCGCGAAGACCCTGACCGATGAGGCCGAGGGCTTCGTGCCGAGCATCGTGGGATGTGTCAGCACCTCTGGACGAAAAAAAGGAAGGGATGGAGCGCCGGGATCGAAGCAAGTCACATCATATGGGATTTACGCATGAAAAGCAGCATAAAGCAACATATTATATATTAGAAACCATCTACGAACCGCATGGGGAGAATATGAGAGAATGGAATGGTATCAAATCAACTCTATATATAACATATTTTAATTTGTTGATGCTTGTTGCATTTTTTGTCCCAGGGGCTTCAGCAAGTCAAACCACCCCACCACGGCCTCAAAGGCACCAAGTTCCACCAGTCGGGCCGACCAGTTCGAGTCATAGTGTTCAAAGTGGTTTCATTTTCCCCAGACCATTCATGGTATGGAACAGTTCCTTACATTAGGGCATATTAGGCCCAGAAATGGGGTACATGTATACTAGCCATTCCATGCCATTCCAGGTACATTACATGAGTCTTTGAGTTCGGTCAGTTTGCCACGGTTCACGTGAACCGGACGCTTCATGTCCGCTTCACATGCCCGGCCCTTCGGGCGCCCTTCGGGCCCTTTGAACCCTTGGGACTTGACATGAACATGTGTAGGGCTTGACACGAACAGATGGTCGTTTGATGACGTTCTTTACGTCATTTTGTCCGCCTTTCCAGTATCTTCTAGTCTTTCTTTGTCTATTCATGTGTCCAAGAGAAGCATTTGTAGACCTATATGTTCATGCGGACGGTTCAGAGGCCATGGTCATGAAGGAGGAATGGCCATCATGAATGGCCTCCTCCGGATCCGATCCTGACTCTCGTGACCAGCTGAGGCAATTTTCCTTTTTCCATTTTGCGACTGGGCATGAGTATAGGATGGCTGAGACGCATGACCATCCCATGTTGTCGCCGGGTTAGAGTACGAACCAAAGCCCAGTCCTACACGGTGATCCCAATTGTGGATGGTCACTGTGGCGGTTTAAAGAGTGGCATAGAAAAAGGCATGTGAGGTATCGCCTATTTTTCCTCTCCGCTGGAGGGAATCATCATGCTATCATGTTCACCATCGTCATCCTGACACCTTTTGATCCAGATCATTTGACTAGCCAGTGCTTCAGAGCGTTTCGGCTTCGGCGCATCCTGTGGTTCAACAGGGATCTCCGGACCCATGCGGGGCTCCTTTAAGCAATCGAGAAGATGGAACAGGAGGTCAATGATGTCGATGGATCCACGGATTTACCAAACATGTGGATCAACGTTCCGAGGTTGCTCTCTGACGTGGTCGAGGGCTTTGGTGGAAACCTGCCACTGCTGATTTTGCCCTATGTGCTGGATTGGATCGTGGGGAAGGAAGCGGCAGAGGAGCTCGTGCCTGGAGTCGAACGACAGGGCATCCAGGGGGGGTGAGCAAAAATGATAATGTATAGACCTATAGTATAGACCTATATAAGTATAGCTATATATATAATAATATATACTATAGATATACTATATAATTCAATAGCACTTTGGACTTTGGATAGCTTTTGCGAATGTTAATGATCAATGGCTGACCACTGGGCGGATGTTGCTTCAGCAACCTGAGAAGCTAAATACGTGTCACTAGCTTCCACCTCCCACTTAGGTGGGATCAGTTGGAAGGCTCTATGTCATTGGAGCCATGACTCATATGGCCATACGCCTCCTGGCTGCGGCTATGCTCGCTGAGAAGATTGTTTTTTTCGCTGAGAAGATCGCGATGTTTTGTGGAAGATGGTGTCGCCCGCTGGTTCCACGAAATGGCTGGCTCTGGGAACTTCACTCTCATTGCATCAAAAGCCATGCGCAATGCTTAATGCGCAATGTGGATGTTCCCAACCAATGCCCTTCCATGGATCACAATTCTTGTCTACAGGTGACCCAATCCCCAACCGTGTTTGTATGCTCAGAGAGGAATCCCCTTCCTTCCTAGACCTCCCGTTTGCAGCGTTGATGGATTTGCCGATAGGGCGATCAAATTGGATGTGCCGCCTGAGGCGTGCCCATGAACTTCGCTTGGCGCTGGGCAGCTGCAGCTCGCTCTCGCTAGGCTTTGTTTCTGGGAGGGGAGGGACGTTTGGGGCCTGGAGTCCTTGCAGAGTCCTGGAAGGTGTGTCTTTGAAAATGGTTGGAAAGGGGAGTCGGCTTGTGAAATTTGGGGCATATATCTTGCTGTAGAAGCATGGAAGATGCTCAGATGGTCCCTTTCTGTGGACCATTTGTTGCTGTAGAAGTCTGAAGAGAATGTTGATTCCAACTCGCCCACGTGGAAGTGATCATATGAGGATCTTCCGCTTGGGGTACTCCTTCCATGTGATACCCATCTTCAGATCCAGAGGGGATAATGCATGCCTGTTTCGTCCAAGACCTGGTTCATGGAACGTGACAGAGACCGAGGACCCAAACTCGCTTGCAAGGAGATGGATCCTTTTGGCTTACTTCCATTCAACTCCCACCCAGGTACCCGGAACTCAGCTGCCTCCAGTTCACCCACGTCGACCATCGTTGAGCAGTTCCAAACGCATGAAGTCAACACTTGAGGGACGGGTTATATAGAGGTTTCTCGATGGTTTCTCAATGTTTCTCTTACGACACCGGACGGGCCCAAGTTGTGAGTGGATTTGGCGAAGAATTGCCTTCACCAAGGGCCGATTTGGGAAGTACTACACCTACATGGCCTACGAGTTCTTCTACGGCTGCCACATGCGACCTGAAAGAATCATGACTTCAGCTTATCAGCTTTCCGGGCTTGAAGCCTTGATTAAGTCTTTAGAAGGAAGTCACCTGGGATTGCCAACTAAGAATGAAGACCTGTCATTTCTTCCATCTCTAGCTGTTTAAACTACAGTAATTTGACTGGGGCCTGTGCCACTTATGACTGACAGAGGACCTGTTGGCAAACAAGAGCCATTTTGGAGCGTTTAAGGATATCCAATGGCCTTCCCAAAACACAACAGGTTCATTTTGGGGTTCCTTGGAGGACAAGGAGGCGCATGCAAGTTGGTACTTGGTTGGTGTAGCACACACCAACATTTCTTTCACTTTGTACCAGGAGCCTCCTTTCATTCATGCTAGAGAGTAGGCACACTGGTTAAAGAGAGCGTGTGTCATCTCAACACACCGGTGGGGCCCCCAACTCGTCATTCTCAAGGAGTTGCCTCATTTCGCTCTTTTTCTTTGGCTGCCACCGCAGGTTCCTGTTCCTCATCCCGGACAAAGGCACCACCGGTGCGATTCTGGGTTCCCTTGGCTGGAGCGGTGTCGCAGGAGATGGTGGAGAAACCATTGGAACATCGGAACCATCTACCTCCAAAGGGTCAAGCTAAGGAACTTGGGATGGTACACAACTGCTGGTGGAGGCAGATGAAGGATTTGCACACCTGGCCAAGGCAGTTGGATCATAATAGATCAAACTTGAGACAACCACTGGGTCGTCTTCTCGTAGAGGAGAACCAGAGTGTGCCTGTTTTGTCTCTACAGTCCCATCTCTGAAGACCTTTTTCGTTTTCACTCGGCGAACCGGCCAAGCAACCTCAACGGACCAGCCCGAACACAGCCTGAAGAATTGGTTCCTCCAGCACTCCTCCCTCAGGGGGTGTTGCGGGCGACGGTTTTCTGAGGCATTATTCTTTGCGGCACCTGGGGCATTGCCTATGCAGGCGTGCTCCCCTCCGGAAGGCAATCAAACATCCCGGGAGCACTTTATGACCTGTGTCACTTGATGACCGTGAAACCATCCGGTGGCACTGTGACGTGCTTTTTCTTTGGAAAGCGCTGGTTTGGATTGGGATAGAAGCGGGGAAGTGGGAATCCACACCACAAGTTCTTGCGAAAACTCCTTGATGGGACTGGAAGCCGAACTTTGGGCTCAAGAGTGTGACAGATCCTTGTTGCCTTATATGGGAGGACCCATGGCCATCCCATGCTAGTTTACATAAGGTTTTACATGGTTTTACATGTTGATTAGATTATTGGATCTTGTATGATCTTATTTGTTTATGTTTCACGATGGCCAAAAGACGTCAAAAGGAACGGAGCCTAACTCCTAATGTTGCAAAATGGTTGACTTTGAAAGTCAGATTTACATTTGGAAACCACCAAGTCAGATGGTTGACTGTTCCAAAAAGATCACTGACGGGCTCAGTCAGCCGTCCACGAGTGGTTCCCAGTTGGGTCGAAAGGTTCTGGAAGACATGCGATGTTTGCGGGATTGATTGTTCATGATTGTTCTATCCATCTATTTACTGTATGCAATAACTCTTGATCTACAATATGCAAAAATATTGTATTACACTATAACTATATATATATATATGCAAATTTCATCGGCTCACCTGAAGTTTAAGTCATGACCCCCAGCCTTGCGACCTGGACGTTCCGGAGCCTTGTGACCTGGAAATGGAGGATCCCCTTTAATGATCCCATATATTAAAAATGGTTTCGATATTCTTGCACTAGATGTCTCAATTGGGATTTTAATAGATGTTTCAACTGTGATTTGAATGGGGGTGGTTTTCGTGCTCTAGTCAAGAAGCACAAGCGCAGTGCTTGAATGTTTTTTTTAATTTGGATCCTGTTTGAGGAGTTCGTCGAGAGGCCCATGGCTGGACTTGGGGTCCAGTGGTATTAAACAGGTTTGCAATGGACACCGGGTTGTTGGAAGAGCAAGCTGGTGGCTTTTTTTGGCTCGTGGCTGATTGAATGGACGGTTGGTGGTTGAGGTTGACTGATTTCTTATGAGAAAGTGCGATTCATATGATTCATGATTTTACATCTTTTACACCTTTCTTTCCGAACGATGATTTTTCTTGAGCAGTTTCAACTGGGTGCCAGACTTGGGGGTACCGCCGATCATCCACATCCACGGACTGAAACCCACTCGCTCCACGTTTCTTGTCTTCCCGGTGCCCCAGTGGATCGAGCAACATGGCGTGAAATGATGTCTTCGGGCCGGTTCCAGGTGACCCGATAGTGCTGCTTCGAAAGACGAACGGACCAACCTGTCCCAACGATTTCGGGGTGCACCGGGTGCACCTGTCACCTGACCCCAACGGAGCACCTGATCCACATTTAGACTAATTGATACAACAAAAGCACCTACATGGTCGTTCACATCTCCTGGTTAGCCAGGCCACTGGCTTTTGTACGATCTCGTCTCCGATGTGGCGGATTATGACGAGCTCCTCACCGGCCAGCGCCGAGAGGGTCAGCTCACGTGGCCTGGTCAAGAACGCATGGCAGCCAGGTGTTGGGAGGACATGTAGACTATTGTAGACTTGTTGCTGTAGAGATGTTTTCGAAGGAGACTTGGAGATTTGGACACATGCAGGTATTAGACCTTCTCTGGGCTGGGCTGTGAGAGTTTGTTTTACTTAAGTGTTTTTTCAAGGTATCTATCCAAAAGATTCCACAAGAACAGGGTGTTCTTTATTTCTTTGTCCATATTTTGTTTTGGGCCACCCGGCGAGGTGGGCACAGACGTACGGGATGGCTTCACACCACCAAGGATGGCTCGTGAACTGGTGCCGAAGATCTGCGAAATCCCCGCGGACGCCCTGCCGTTCTTGCTCATGGGACCTTTGGCAGTGGAAGAACGGATCCCCCCGGTGCTGTGGAGCTGGTGGATGAACGGTTGCCCTGTTCGGGACATTCGTTTGGAATCGGCGGATTTGGATGATGTGGATGGAGACCATCGAGCGATCTAAGAGATCTAGATGGCTGAAGCGGCTGAAGGTTTTTGGTTGGCCCACGATTCACGATGGAAGCGTTCACGAAGGATCCGACGATCCGACATCTACAGTGTTTGATACGGTCCACGTCATATTGAAACAAGGGACACAAAAGAGGGTCTCCTCATCCATCCATCACTGATGGTTTATATTTATTGTATTATAATGTTTAATTATATAGAGATATGTTTGAGAAAGGCGAACATGCCTGCCCCTGTTCTTAAGAAGAGTCTCTTCTAGATCGCACATTCTCATATATAGAAGGGTCTTGAGATTTTTTTTGTTTACATGACCTTGTGTTGTTCTGTAGAAGCCTTCACAGGATTGGCTTCAGTCAGTTCTCCCAAGCAGCCATGAGGGCAGCGTGCCTTCCACGAACCATCGCGCCTTCCAAGACTGGTTCGAGGTTACTATGGTTACAACCCTGACCTGGCTGAGCAGAATGAGTCGGTGAAGTGGGTCATTCGAGGGTGCGGGGCTCAGGAATTCGGGGCTGCACGGAGACATGGATTCACTACTGAACCTCGTGAAGGCGGATTGTTTAGGCCACACAAGTTAGTAATTGGAACAAGTTGAGGCCACACAAAGTCTATCAGCACCTCTATGAGGTCTAATTGGTCTTTCCATTCCTGAGATGTTCTTGTCAGTTTCTATTGCTGCTTGAGAGGTTGATGGACGCAGCATGACGCAGCCACATGTATCGCATTCCGGGAGTATTCAGACCACACTCGACGGACCGGCGTTCTCCAGGTCGATCTCCGTTCTACCGGGCGCTGCAGGTGCACTGGGGCGGAGGGGGGAGTGGATTCTGGACCTGAGAACTGCAAGTTGGCAGCTGGTGTAAAATAGAGCAACCTAGACTCCAGACACGACTATATGATCACTATGCTAAGCATGCTAGGTGTTTTTGGTCTAGAGTCTAGATGGTAGCTTTTAAGTTGAGAACACAATGCAAGAACAAACTGGACTCTGAACCCCCGATGGAATGACCATATTGGCCGGGGTGACATGCAGGTGTGAGCCGCAAAATCAATGGACACTCAAACTTTGTAGACGTGGTTTCTTTGCCATTGACCGCCCCACAAAGAGGCACCAGTCTAGGAATGGTGAACGTTCCATTCCTGTCAGCAACGTTCCATGCCGCTTCTGAGAAGGTTGGATCAACTCGTAGAACTCGTTGGATGGATTGTTCACCCGAAGAACTCATCCAGAGCTCCTGTTACAGTTCCTAGTGCTCACTGTGTCATGCACAATGGATGTGGCACCAGGGCTAAGATCGTTGTGCAGCATTTTGATGGAATTTTGTTTTGGTCTTAGTCTCCTAGTGATGCTTCACCAAATTCCATAGCCAGCTCCGCCTCCAGGCCTCCTAGGCACTATGGCCTTGCTTTTCTTTACTTTGCGAAAGAAGGCCGGCCGACCAGATGGGTTCAGAACCAGTCCCGGCATGTTGAAGTGATCCCAGGGCATCTTAATGATGGCAAAGGTGAGAAACTTCGGTAGCTCGATGGTTCCAGCGCGGTGCTGGATTGCTTCCATCCAGAGCAGGTCAAAGCCCAATGTTTTCAGAAGATGGCCGGGAATCAGCGCCGAACAGTGACCAAAGGAACATGCAAGTGCGCAGATGGATGTGCATCCTACTTGTATGTAGGTTTTGACCTATATGGCCACTCCAGTGGTCATCAAATCAGGAACTGCAGCTCTCCGACATGGGGCTGTTATGGCCTGCTGAAGGGCCGGGTCAAAACTATTTGATGTGGCCTCCTCAGACACGAGATTGTCGTCAGTCACTTTTTATGGACGCAGAGCAGAAGTGTTTGTGTTTGTTATTCTCTTTCAAGATCCATAACGGCGCATGGAAGGTCAACATTCTTGGTAGACGACGCATTTTCTTTTAGAGGGTCCCAGAGTTCTTTCTCCACAGCAGCTGTATCCGGATTTTTGCAAACGATCTTTGTGGACTAATTACTAATTATGGATATTGCAAAAGGAGAATCAGAAGGAATATGCTCATTAAGGCTCAGAAATGCTTATGTTTACTATGTGTCCTATGGACATTCTTATGGATTTCATCATGAAGTCATTCCATTCCTCTAATTACAAATCTAACACCTCAAGTCAGTTGGTTCAGGCGCACCTCCCATCCGCCCCGGCGACCACTTCCTTTTAACCCTGGTCGGCCAGGATCAGCATGAGAAGATCATCCGCAGCTTGGCGATCACATTCACAGGTTGGCGATCACCCAAGAGGTGGTTTATATGAACTCCCATGTAAAGGACATCTTGAGGCTTGTGCCATCGAGCCTCTGAAACCACTGTAATTGAATCCTCCAACCCTTCTGCTCCAACCCTAAACGACCCTTCGGCAAAGTCCAACCCTGAACGCCAGAGCAGGCAACAGGAGGCCATGCTACGACGTCGGAGTGGCGGAACCGTTCGGACATGTCATTACTATCATCGGTGTGATAGATTTGAGTTGGAGACGCCAGCCATAGATACACGGAGCCAAAATAAATTGTGGCTAAAGTGCTAAAGCAAAAACAAAGCAAAAAAGAACGAAAGGTAAAGAACAACACATGTAGCTTTGGGTGTTTGTCGCTGTTGCGCACTTTTTGTTTTCTTTATGTTCACAGTTGTTCCGTTTTTTTTTTGCGCATGGTTTTCTTTTTTTTTTTTCCGGGTACCGCTTCTGCACATTTGAGATCTTAGGAAAAAGCTAGAACATAAAGCGAAAACATGTGAAAATAAAGCAAAAAACGTGAGCAACAAAAAGCTACAAACACGCAAGCTACATTTTGTTACTTTTTTGTTTGCTTTATGTTTGCCTTTTTTGTTGCTTTATTTTGCCTTTTGTTGCGCTTGATTTTTTGCTTTTGTGTTGCTTTGTTATTGCTTTAGTTTTGTGTTCTTTTTTTTGAACTGTTCAGTTGCTTTTGTATTGTATTTTTTTCATAAATTTATATTTGATGGTTTGCCATGTATGGCTGCCATTGCTTAACACAATGTTAGATTTCCGAGCTTACCTGTAACGGTCAGTAAACAAGAACATTTGTTTTTTTTAGAGAAAGGCCTGCAACTGAACCATCATCCACAGTTACTGACAATAGGATAGACCCAAATCATTGGTATGTTAGATGTATACAATATTATGTAATTAAAGTGTCTATATAATGAACCAGTTCTGCATGGTGTCGCTTATACCAATGAAGTTGTTCAACCCATTTCCTTTGACCTCGTAGTCAATGTTGTCATGGACACTTTCACATGCAACATATACTGGTTTAAATGTTTGCCTAAGGTACGCTCCATTACACGCCAAATCAGGAAGCCATTTTGTTGGCATAAGGTTTTTTTGCTGTTCTTTTTTTTCAGAGTCGATGCTTAGTGACTTCGTGCTTACTTGTGGTAGAGGCGCTTTGCTATCAGCATCCTTACATGTCACCGGGCGATTGCAGGGTCCAAGCCATAGCTTGATATGATGCACCCACCAGGGTGGGACTTGTGTCCATGTTTGTCCATATCACAGGCACAGGTTGCAAATGGTTGCATCGTGCTTTCGTGCTTTTCTTGAGGACGCAAGAGCGAGTGAAAGTTAATAATACCCTTATTGGATTTGACAAAAACGTATATCGCACATGATGCACATCCCAAGCAGCAGAAGACTCCGAGCCGAACAACGTGTTTATATGATTAGTGGACAGGGGTGTTTGTTTCTATTTTTTTTGGAGCTCTATGTGGCCTGCTTGGCCACCCTGAGGCGGCATCCAACAGCACCAAGATGCTCGGAGCAGGGAGCGGTAGAAGGGTGCATGGTTCCAAAGGCCCCCAGGACCCTCAATGCTAATGGACCTTCAACAGGTTGGGATTATCCACAATGCCTTATTCTTATCGCTGTTCCTCGATGTTAGGTTTTCTGGGGACCTTTGGGCTCAACAAAAAAAAAAGAAACAATCTACAGATGGTTTTTTGGGCCGAGGCGCAGATATTCGCAGATATTCTCGATCTTTTTGAGGGTACTGCCCTGGTTTACTGGGTCTAGAACACATTTGTTGGTGTAGATTTGCCTCATTACTGTACAATATATGTCAGACTAGTTTCGTTCTGCCGCGCGCGCGCACACATTATCATACTTATATCATGTGTTCTTTGGGGATGTGTTTTTGCTTTGATTGCAAGACCGACTCTCGTTGGTGAGGTGGTGCTTTTCCGGCTGAGAACTGTGTATTAGGGACTATAGACATGATTCGACTGAAGATCAAAACCCCCATGTTGTTACGACTTTTTTGTTTTAGTATATTAAGTACTATATCCACTATAGGGCCTAGGGACTAGGGACCTTTAAACAAGCCTTGCTCAAATTGTCGTGCCACTTCAGGCTGGGTGTGTAGCGACGGACCCTTTGACTGGCTTGCGGTTGCCACCGATCAAGCGCGAGGGCGGCACTGCCCTTGGGCTGAAAATGTCGAGTCACTGATTTGTAGATCCAGGCCCGTAGGGAACTTTGAACAGCGGAAAAAAATGGAAGGCTTTGCAAGTTTGCTTGGATATGTGTGTTTCTTTTTTTTCTGGGTCTTGCTGTGCTTTTCTCCAACAGTGTATTCTCTTTTAGCGTGGCAGCTTTGGTGGGACAGCTTCTTCAGTGTGCCTGGTTCATGGTGGCCAGCAATTATGTGCTGGGGCGGTGGTTTGTGCCCTCTCATTATGTCATCATTGTCATGACTCGTGTGAGTACAAGACCCACCTTTTTGGTGCCCCAGACCACCTTGCCCAATGCTGCAAGACGTATCCGATAAGAATGGCTCCTTGAGACCTCCCGCACGAGCGAAAGCGCGCGGTACTTTGTATTGCCAACATACTTGACCATACATTCCTTTGTAAACATGGTGAATGGTGATTCCTGCCTTCATCTCAGTCTCAGGTCCAAGTGTCGGTTTTCCCCAGGTTTTCCAAGGCTTTACCTGCTCAAATGAATGCCCCTAAGCAAGCAATCACAGCTTGTTCACCGTGTCTCAAGGTAGAGTTCGAGGGCCAGAAGATTGGTCGACGCTGGGTCAGTCCGAGTCACAGGGTGATGGCAGGTTGCAGGAATACAGCCGCTAGAGTCGCTAGAGTCTGGAGCTAAGCAAGGAAAAAAAACAAACACCCCCTGTTTCCATGGGTGTACATGGTAAAACCATGTAAAACCCATTGAAAACCCGAGTCTGCTTTGGGTGTGGCATGGTGCAACCCACTCTT